ATGACTCAGTGGGTGTTTGCCCTCCTGATGGAGCGAGGCTAACAGTTTCCCCCTGTTTCCAGTCTTTGTGCTAAGCTAGGCTAACATGTCTCAGCTCTGGACAATGAACAATGAGTAAAATGAAACTCATCGTCGGGCCATTTCCCTGCAGCTGTGTTCAGTTCTTATCAGCACGCTGCTGTTAGTATTACATCCGTCCATCCATCCATCCAGCTTATCTCCTGTTTACAGGTCCCACCCTTTTCCTCCATGATCACTCCACTCTGCCCTCAGTGGAGGAGGAGGGGCAGGAGGAGGAGGAGGAGGAGGAGAAAACTGGCTCAGAAAAAGCAGAACACTGCAGAAGAATGAATAAAATGTTTGAGCCTCTGTGTCGGCCTTATCACCTCATTGGATCTCGGCCTGCAGGTCCGGCCCCAGAGCATGATGGGAACAATTAGGGGGTCTGTGGAGGAATGTAATCTGGTGGTGCCGGCGCTCTCTGGTCTTTATCTGATGCCGGAGATTCCAGCGGGGCTCTGAATGCCTCGCAGGAGGCTGGACAGGGATTTAGTCTCCTGTCTTAAACTGTCATGGCGGCATTTAAACTTTGATCTGAAGCAGGAGCTGAGATGGCGCTGAATAAGAGTCATAAATAAAAATGTTTTTTTATTGGGGAGAATCATCAGAGTCTGAACAGATCTGAGTAACAGTAATAAATAAAGTGGTGTTCCAGCGAAGATCATCAGAGTCTGAACGGGCCGTCAGGTCGCAGCAGGTCTGACAGGAAGCAGAAACATGAAGCTGAGCGTGTTCAAACACAGACTGCTGAGTAATAACGACCTGAGGAAACACAAGCTGATGCTCCACCGTGACTTTATCCCAGTCAGTGTACTTTAGCTCCGCTCATATCTGAGGAATGAGTGCGAACGTGAAAAATATCTGATACATAACTGTGGTGTTAAACTGTGACGCTGCATTCACTTCCTGGACAAAAACAGTTGCAGCATCAGTAAGAGAGGAGATTCTCAAGTTTCCACAGAGACAGATTCAAACTGAGTCATTACACTGTGCAGGAAGCAGCAACATCACTGTGGACCTTTAATTTGACGGGACACAGCTGTGAGTCCAGCAGCGTTCAGGTTCAAGAGATCAAACGTCAAAGATTTGAGCCACAGGTTCAGACTGAGGAGTCTGACATCACTGATGACAAGGCCTCACCACTTTAGATCTGAACTCATTCGTTCCTCCATGTTAACATCTGACAGTGTTAGAACATGGTTTGATTAACCTAAATGACCAAACACTGAGGAGATACAGTCCTAAAAGTTGATCCACATTGGACCCCCCCCCCGCCCTCCTAAAGACTCAGATATCTGCTCCAAACATAAATCCATCAGTGCAGATTAATGCTAACAAACTAGGAGATTCACAAGTTCGATGCTTCTGGACCAAAACAAATAAATGTGCAGTGGAGGTGTGAGTCCAGCGTTCTGGGTCCTACTCTTACTTAAAGGCGTTCCCCAGGGTTCCACACTGGGACCATTAATATTGTCCATGTCCAGGGTTTCCCACACAGTCATTCATTTGTGGCGGCCTGCCAAAATATAAACTTCTGCTGCCACATACTGGTGTTCTATTTTAAGAGCTAGACAGTTCATTGGGAGCTGCTGGAATATAAATACTGTTCAGATATTCAGAGCTCCAAGCTGTCACAGCGCAGAGCGAGTCTGGACACAGACGGAGCAGCAGAACACCAGGCGCGGTGACAGTGAAACTGAACCGTTCATTGTGCTGCGTCTGAAGGTTTGTCTCTGCAGCAGCTGCTCCTCTCATCCATCAATCTGATCTGATCAGACTGATATGAAGGGACACACACACACACACACACACACACAACCTGTGTTTTGCATATTGCATTTTTACAGGATGTGTGACAGTGTAATAATAATGTAATGTTCATGCCGCCATCTTGGCTTGTCGCTCTTGAAATAGAGATTATTAATCTCAATGAGACTTCACTCTGTTAAATAAAGGACACATATATGATTTTTTCCTCTGTTGTTCTCCTTAAAACTCAATTTGGAAAAAACACAATGTTTTTATTTTGACATGTTACAGTACGGACACTTGTTTATTTCTCCTGTCCTGCTGTGCCACAGCTCAGTCTGACACATGAAGAACTCTGCCCTGTCTGTCCAGATATTTTTGTGAACAGATATGTTCCTCTACATTTGGGCCTCTCGTCACACAAACAGAGTTTTAGGTCATGACAAAGGGTATTTTTCAAAACGCCCACTAAGGTCAAGATTTATCAAAACTCTGTTTCCTGTTCATCTGTGTGGACGTGTAAAATGGAGCGTCTGGGGAGACTATGATGTCATCTTCTTACATCGAGTGTCTATTGATGCTTTGTGTGACGAGCAAACGCTGAAAACAACAACAACAACAATGGCGGGCTAACGCTTTGCTAACGTTTTGTCAACACTGCTTGGTCTAATGACGACTTTACACTGAAACCACCACTTCAGGGACGAACAGAGACATCTGCTGCACCCAGTGTTCCTGCTGCACCTCAGCGCCCACGGATTTAAGTCCACTAGAAACAAAAGTTCTGGATCAGGACCAGTGGAACCAGCAGACGGTGGGACACTTTCCAGAGTGGGATTGTTGTTGATGTGGAGTGGAAGGAAAACTGTCACATGTCCATGTTGATAACACAGCGGCTGCACGGCTCCATAAACATGTGGAGCGCCAGCTGTCAGTCATGGAAACACAGCAGCTCTGCAGCAACGCTGTCTGTGTGAACACTGCACACATCAGTGTTTGGAGTCAGTTTAGTGTTCTAGTGTTGATGAGACGAGATATTTTGGTCGTGTGGATGGACTTTATTTCTAAACTGAGGGAAATTTATCTGTTTACAACAATATCTGGATACATGTTGACAGGCCTCACTGAGTTTCTGTTTGACATGACTGAAGAGCTGAAAATTAAAATAAAATTACAGCACAAGTCAGTCAGCAGGAATGTGAAGTACAAAGTCGTGTGAAGCGTCTGGTCACAGGCTGATGATGCTGTCGCTCATTTCATGTGGACTCAGTTTATTGTGTGTTCGGCTCCACTGACGATAGCACAAACCAAATCAGCCTCGAGTTGATCAGTAGGACGGCCCCTCTGGTTCCTACCTGACGACTGTACCTGAGTATTAGACTAACATGTTGACCTGATGATGGCGCTACATTAAAAGTCAAAGGATGATCAAAGTCATCACGGTTCATCCTGAGGGGAGCATGAACCATGAAGCACATTTCATCACAGTCCATCCTGCAGATGTTTCAGTCTGACAGACAGATGTGTTCATCTCTGAGGCTACGCTGCCGTCACAGCTAACAGTCAGTGAACGCAGCGCTGAACAGCATCAGAGAGACAATGATGGAGTGTCTCTGATCAGCAGGATCGACGACAGTAACAGTGTCTCAGTGAGACAGCTGCTGTCAGAGTCCTCCATGAGTTTAAACCCTCCTGGTGGTTTATAAAGCACAGACACAGGGCTGCTTCCTGTCTCCACTGTCTGAGCTGAACATGAACAGACAGCTGCAACACACACCTGATACACTCATCTCAACAGAGGTGGGACCAAGTCACAAGTCTCAAGTCTTTGCACTCAAGTCCCGAGTCAAGTCCAAAGTCATAAACATTGAGTTTCGAGTCCTGAACAAGTCCCAATGTGCTCTGCACCAAATGTAGCATGACACAGTAATGATGCTGGCTGAGCATCAGGTCGCTGGATGTGTTAACGTCTGTGTGACGTCAAAGGTGGAACAAAGATGGAAGTTGTAGTGTCTCCATCTGTAACCTTCAACTTGCGCAGTTTGCAAACTGAAAATCATTTTTTGTCAACCACCGCTTGGTTTCTGTGCACAAATACAATTATCTTTCATGTCATATTTTACCAACTGGCGCTCAGTAACATAACGTTAGTTCATTTTCTCCTGCAGCTAGTTTGGACGCTGTCAGGTCGGTTCAGACGAAGTGGATCTGGGGAATCAGGCGTCGACACGCTGGGAATAAATTACTTTCAGGGAAAAAAAATTAATTGTGTCACACTTTTAAAATAATATATCTTTTAATCTTTGGGCTGCAGGGAAGCTATCAAGTATTTTCAAATCAAAGGTTCAAATCCAAATGAAGTCACAAGTTGTTGTTAGAGTCATTGTTGAGTCTCAAGTCTTTTTTGATTTCGTCATGACCAGTCACCAAATGTGTGACTCGATCTGACTCAAGTCCAAGTCACTTGGCTCACGTCCAAACCTCCGGACCCAATACTGATGGGCTGAAGCAAAGCACCTTCAGATATTCATTGAGTGCTCAGTGGCGTTCAGCTGACTCAGAAAAAACAACTATGGAAAACAGGCTGGAAAATTAATGACACCAGACTCCATTTAAAAAATGTAATTTTTAAGGTGACACAGATCATCAGAAGCCATACCTGAGGAGTGTATGACTGATCTATTGATTTAAGGCTTCTGGTAAATTCGACTTGAAATCTAAGTTTTTAAATGAACAGAATTAAGTATTGAATGTAGAGTACTGGCTGTATCTCAGTCCGAGACTTTCAATCACACTCTACATGGCCAATGCACCATGAATACATTAAATGGCCTGATTTTTAAACGCAGTTTGGCGTGTCAGCCTGAGCTGGAGTAAGAGCAGAGGATCTGATGTTTGTTTCTCTCGTGCGGCTTTAAATCTTTTTAGCTTCAGTGTATGTGTGTGTGTGTGTGTGTGTGTCACCTGTGCAGGTTAGTCAGTCACTTTACATATTAATCAGCAGTTACAGAATATTTAAAGCGGTGTCTTTATGGTTGAATCGGGCGGAGCGGAGCCTGATCTGTTATCAGTTCAGCTGGTTGTTATAAACTTGAGTTAGCAGCAGGTTAAAGAACCGACAGGTGAGCAGAAGTTACCTGTGCAGGTGAACAGTAGTTACCTGTCCACAGGTAGTAAAGTCAGAGACCCACCTTGAGAGGCGCCTCCAGCAGCTTGTGTATCCCGGCGATCTGCTCGCTGAGCGGCAGGTTCTCCTCCACGTTCACCGTCGGAGGTCTCCGAGGTTCGGGGAAGTTGGTGCAGATAAACGGGTCCGAGTCCTCCAGGTACTGGACCCGGCACACGATGGAGGCCATGGCCGAGAGACCGCGACCCTGCTGCGGCTACAAGTGTCTGTGTGTGTCGGTGTAGATCCGTCCGGCTCCGGAGGATCCTTTCAAATGAAGAGAACCCGCTCCTCACCGCCGGGACACCGGGGCCGTCAAGCTGCGGCGGATATACACATGCACTTCCGGTCACACCTTCCAAAATAAAGGCAGTTTTTGGCGGCTATTTTTTTTATTATTATTATTTAGGTTGTTTTGATCATTTATTATTAATTAGATTTAGTATATAATTAATTTCTTGTTACTTTTATGTATCAAACACCAACAAGTTGCAAAAAGGCCTGTTGAATAATCTTAAAGCACCTGGTGACGGACCTCTGATTTTATTTCTGATCCAGTGGAGAGACATACACACTTATATACACACTTATATACACACTTATATACACACTTACATACACAGTTATATACACACTTACATACACACTTATATACACACTTATATACACATTTAAATGTTTAAGGTATGTTTTCACCACATCTCTGAAATCAGTGGTTCCCAACTGGTGGGTCGTGGTGCAGAGGTGTGTCACAGGTCCACTCTGAAGGACGTAAGTGACTCACAAACAAACATGTCAGGTTTGTAAAAAACATTCTTTATTTTTAAGTTCGGTGAACTTATGACACAGAGCTGCATCTCTGAAGCTGTTTCCTGCTGTAGAGTGAATCATGGACAGTTACCTGTCAGAGACAAACCAGCTCAACGACACGTCGAAACACAAGTATGATGCTGAATGTCTTAAATTGTATGAAGCTGGGGTGTCGGTGCGTGAGTGGATAGAGCAGGCGTCCCATGTACAAGGCTGTTGCTGCAGCGGTCCGGGTTCGAGTCCAGCCTGTGGCCCTTTGCTGCATGTTACTCTCTCTCTCTCCCCCTCTTCACACTCACCTGTCCATTAAAGACAAAATGCCCAAAACAAACGGTGTGAAGCTTCAAATAATGACTGAGGAGAAATCTAGACCAGTTTGGAACCACTGTCTTAAATAAAAAGATTCCCCTAAACATCTTAGTTACTCACTACAAACTAGAGAAGGAAGAAAGGAAGGAAGGAAGGAAGGAAGGAAGGAAGGGACAGACAGACGAATGAAAAAATGTGAGGGAAGGAAAAACTGGATTTTGTTCCTGATTTTTCTTCCAGTGTGATTTAAACTGTCTTTAATGCGCTGTTCAGGTCACGAACAAAATTCTGAACACTTCCTTTTTTATTTCAAACATTTACTTTTACTTTTAATACTTTAGTTCCTTTAACACCATAAAGTTACTTTTGATACTTAAGTTCAGTAAATATCAGATAGCTTAAGACTTTTACTCTAAAATATTCTAACAGGTGACTTTAACTTTTAGCAGCGACATTATTTGGTGAGATATCTGTACTTTTAATCAAACATGGCTTTTTTATCACTGCCTTATTAACCCTTTGAAACCTGAGAGCAACTTGGCAGTGAGCAACTCAACAGGAAATGACCCAGAATTAGCAAAAAAATAGTAAAAAGTTACAAATAAATTACCTGAAAATGAGCAAGAAAAGTAAAAAATAAATAAATAAATGATCTGAAAAAAAGGCTAAAAATTGAAAAATACAGTTTGAATATATAATTTGAATAATTATAAATTAGTTTTCTGGACATTGTTCACTATTTTTTAAAGATAAGTTTCTATGAATTTTCTGTCTTTATCTGTTTCTAATAGCTGATTTTCAGTTTATTTTCTTGTCAGCTTTTTAACAATTTCTTGCTCAAGTTTTCAAAAATATAAAAACAGCTGATCAAAACGGTTCATACAGGTTTCAAAGGTTTAAATGTTTGTTAAAGGCGTCTGAATGCAGCTCAAGAAAACTGATGCTGATCCAGGTTTCATATGGTTAATGATGGTGGTGATTATTTGCCATGTAATCAATGATGATCAATAACTGGAGATCTTTTATCATTAGTGTAAGATTCAAAGTCCTGCTCTCTCACACAGATGTACATGTTCAGGTTGACCTGCACTAACCTGCCGTCCAACATGCAAACTCATAAACAAACAGAGGACACCAGACACCGCATCAGAGCAAAGACACACACACACACACACACATCTCTGAGGTTTGCAACAACCTGAGAGGACGTGACGTCAGACCGTCAGCATCAAACCTCACATCTCTCAGCCTCATCATCCACTGGGCTGGTTTGGACCCTTTGGCGGGCCGGCTCTGGCCCACGGGCCGTATGTTTGACACCCTGATCTACATCATCATTAGTGCACTTTTCTTTTTCAGTTCCATGACTAAATGATTTCGATGAAGACTTTTATTTTGATAGAGGTCTGGCCCATCATCCGGCCTAACTGGCAGTGATTTGATGGTGACGTCACGCGGTGCAGCATGGAAATCCAATGACATAATGATCAGATCTATGGAAAGAGTGTGAGCTGCAGCTGCTCTGGGGTCAGTTTACAGCTGCTGTGTGTCACATTAGAACAACACACGAAGAAGAAGTGAGTCATCAGCTCCAGGTCCTCCTGAAGGCTGAGGGGGTGTGACAGGACAGCGCCCTCTGCTGGACCAATCACTGCAGGACACACTGAGACACTGTTCAGGTTCTCTACTGACACACACACACACACACACACACACACACAAACATCATATTCATTAATTCATATACGAGATAAACCCGTCAGTGACAACATTAAAACATTAAAAGGTTAAATATATAAATCAACAGAGTGTGTACGTAATGTACAGAGTGATTTATCCAGACACCTCCACGCGCCTCGTCAGACCTTCTCTGTGCCACATTCTGTGTGTTTGTGAAGGCAGTGAGGAGCCAGGTGGATATGTACTGTCACCTGCACGAATACTGCACGTTTAACATTAGTCAGTAACCACTGAATTTAATAATATTTTCTTAAAAGAAATAATGTGTGGAGCAGGGCCATCAAGTCACCACATTGGTCACCGTCATGTCAGTGCTACAAATGATTTGAACACTAACAGAGTTAGTCGTTATCCTTTGGCGCTTTCATGGCGATGTGAGGGTTGTCATTCACTCCGAGTACATTTGGAAAACTGGAGATTGCTGTAAACTGCATGTGGATATCAGCCTGCTCACCCACAGTGTAAGGAAACTTAATATAACGGGGAGTCATTTCATTAATGCAGTCTGTGGCCCTGTTTAGACGACAACGGTTTCTCCAAAATGGAAAAGTCTGTCCTTTGCATTTTACAAAACTTCTGCGTTTATATGACGACGTTATTGAAACGATCTCCGCTGCAAAATCGAGTAAGGTAAAGCTGCAGCACCGGAGGCTGCAGTTTCAGGACCGCAGTTTTAGGACCGTGTAATTTTCTGAGCCGAGGCTGCAACCTGAAGTTTATTTTGATTTTTTTGCTATACCCAAATACTACTTTCTTATTCAATAGTGATAATCAGTGTTGGGCAGTAACGTGTAATTTGATTGATGAAGCCCAGATAACTATACATTACCACTGCCAGTCCTCTCACCCACAGTGTGGTGTTTAGGTGTGTCGGCCTGCTTTGCCTGACCTCCGTGGAGGTCAGGCAAAGCAGGCCGACACTGCGTATCCCAGGACGGGTGCTCAAGTGTGGGTGAGAAGAGCGGAGAGGACCGCGACGAGGTGGAGTTGCCACAGTAGATCTACACTTTGCTGGAGAAACGTTGATAAAATCAACAGGGTGAGCAGCACAAACAGAGCTCTGCAATGTTGTTGTGATGGTCGACTTTCTCGCGCATGCCTAGTGACTGGAACTGTAATGCACATGTGCGAAAGTCTCCATTTTCAGAGGAACTGCATGTTGCAAGTTTACATGACAACGGAGACGCTGCCGTTTCCAAAAAATTGCACTCTGGAACCTGTTTTCAAAACGTTGCGTTTTCAGGCACCCAAAGCACCGCTGTGGTGTAAACGATTGGCCAAAACGCAACTAAAGTTGACCGTTTTCAGTTGAAATCGTTGTCGTATAAACGGGGCCTAAGACAGCTGTTGCACTGAATGAGGGCTGTGATATCCCAGACCTGTCGGCCAGTTCGCGCTGGAACGCCCCCGTGGCTTGAAAACCCACAGTGGTCATTGGCTGGACCTGCACCAGGACAGACCGGTTTTGTTGGATGGGTCTTTCCAAAGCTGGGCCCAGTTCAGCAGAGATAACTCTGACTCTCAGTAATCTGAATCGGCTCATTAGCCATTCATCATCATGGGCTAGGAACGCCATAGGTCATTACACATGACATGGTATGAGTCGTACTGACAGCTATTTATAGAGCGTGTGCCAATCAGTGACATTTGCATTAGCTGATCCTAATTACTGTTTAATTTATTTATCTCACCTTCAGGGGAGTGATTATGTCTATCATCCTATATCCAAGGTACAAAATGAATCATTGGATGTCGCTGATATCCTGGGCCGTCCACAAAAGGAGTGAGAAGAGACGTTACCTGAGCTCGGCCCTCTGTAGGACAGATGGGTCTCCAGGCTCTGACTGTGCATGAAGTGACATCAGCATCAGCCACTCTTCCTCCTCAGTTTGTTGACGAGAATAGAGTTTATACAGATCCATCCGATATTGCATGTGCTTTTAATAATTATTTTGTCAATACTGGCTCAGTTCTGTCAGAGAGGATGCATCCTATCACTGAGTCTCCATCTGAGTTCCTGAAAGGTTGTTATCCTTCTCTCCAGAGCTTTGACCCTCCTACTGAGAAGGAAATCTTGGACATCATTGTCAGTATGAAGGATTCTGCTGCTGGTTATGATGAGGTCAGGTCATGTCTGATTAACAAATCTATTCCCTCATTCATCAGGCCATTCACCTATATATTTGCTAAATCTTTAGAGTCTGGAACAATTCCGAGTGATCTGAAAATTACCAAAGTGGTTCCTGTGTTTAAATCTTAACTCTCAAACAACAAACTCCACAGAGGGCACCTGGACTGAGAGGATTCAACATGGAGCCAGACTGAGGCTGGGTCATATCTGAGCCAATCTGCTGACACCTGCAGGTGTACTGCCAACTGATGGAGTCTCACATTAGGTACAGCTAAGCTCCTGTC